CTATAGTCCCGGCTACTTGGGAGGCTGAGACAGGAGAATCACTTGAACACGAGAAGGGAGGTTGCAGTGAGCTGAGTCCATGCCATTACACTTCAGCCTGGATGACAGAGTGAGACTTCATCTCAAACAAAACAAAAGACCCCACACACACAGGAAAGTGAAAAACTGTCACACAAGAGGAGACAAAAAAGACATGACAATCGAATGCAATGTGGTACCTTGAACTAGATCTTGAAACAGAAGAAGGCAATATAAAAACTAGTGAAATCCAAATAAATGCCAGGCACGGTAACATATGCCTGTAGTCCCAGCACTTTGAAAGGTCGAAGTGGGCAGATCACTTGAGGGCAGCAGTTCAAGATCAGCCTGACCAAAATGATGAAATCCCATCTCTACCAAAAATACAAACATTTGCCAGGCATGGTGGCACATGCCTGTAATCCCAGCTACTCAGGAAGCTGAGGCAGGAAAACTGCTTGAGCCCGGGAGGCAGGGGTTGCAGTGACCTGAGATTGTGCCACTGAACTCCAGCATGGACAACAGAGCAAGGCTCTGTCTCAAAACAAACAAACAAACAAAAATCCAAGTAAAGTCCATAGATTAGTTCAGAGTTATGTACTAATGTTGGTTTCTCATACTTGAGAGATATATTGTGGTAATACGTCTGGTAAACTGAGAAAGGGGTTTGGGAAACTGTTTGGGAACTCTCTGTACTATCTTCGCAACTTTTCTGTAATTATAAAAGTATTCCAAAATAAAGAAAAAGTTAATAATTAAAGGGTTTATTTAAAAAATCAACATCTCTATATGGAAAGAAAAGTGCTACAATTTGATCCTACTTTGGCATTTTATTCTGAATAAAGCAGAGTGTGGGCAAGTGACTCACCCATAAAACCACTTTAATATAAATACATACCAAAGCACGATAAATATGATAAATTATAAATATAAAAGCCCAATATTATTTAATATCTCCTCCTTATCTCCTCACATTTGTAACCACATGAATAATTTTAAAACCAGACAGGTATGCTTCTAATATCACATTAATTCTACATGTGAGTCTGAAGGACAAGGGTCCTCTTCCCAACTTTTTGCTGCAGGAGTGCTGCCCTACACATTTAGAACCTCCATTTGTCTATCAGGTTGAGAGAATTTTCTAAGCCTTATCACCCAAAACTCTCTATCGGTTGCTTCTTCTCTAAAAGGAAAAGAAACCAATTCTCCTAAGTGGTATCTCATCATCAGGGAACGGTTTTTACCTGGTAATTCAAATGTCGCCAGTATTTCAAAATGATTTCTAGATACTGTTCTCTAATTTTCTCTTAACTGTTTTCCAAAGTCACTCCCTTACTCATTCACTTGACAAACAATTACATCACACAGCAGTCTGAATCACAATGAACTTGGATAACAAGTTAAATTATAAATTCAAAAATATAAAAGCAAATTTCGTCGTAATGCTGCTGGCACCCTAGAGAGGTTTCATCATTTCAAAAACAACACCCAAACCAAGGCACTAAGGCCTGCAATCCACCCCACCATTTTATACATAATTCTCTAAATGAGATATAAAAACATTCTTACATAGGGTACCTGAAATATCAGCATTTATTTGTCTTATTTATAATGTTATTCTGGTTTCCACTATATAGTACAAAGGTACTATATAGATACATATTATATATTTAATTTATATATATATGTTTAATTTATATATATATATATATTTTCCTCCCCCAGTCCAAGTCTCTTTCTGATGCCTAGGCTGGAGTGCAGTGGTACAATCTCAGCTCACTGCAACCTCCACCTTCCCCGGTTCAAGTGATTCTCATGCCTCAGCCTCCCAAGTATCTGGGTCTACAGGCACATGCCACCATGCTCGGCTAATTTTTTGTAAATTTTTTTGTTTTTTTAGTTGAGATGGGGTTTCACCATTTTGGCTAGGCTGGTCTCAAACACCCTGAACTCAAGTGATCTGCCTGCCTTGGTCTCCCAAAGTGCTGGGATTACAGGAGTGAGCCACTGTGCCTGGCCAAGAGTATTTCATAGGACACGGTGATCTTATTAAATCAGAGGAATATAAAATGGCCAAAATAAGATTTAAAAAAATTAAACTACTGAAAAGGTGAATAAAGGTGAAAGGGAGATGGTATAACATTAGACTATTTATATGAAAAAACAATCACAGAAAGAAGGGAAATTTGTAACAGTTCTCTGGGTATTTTGTGGTTTTATAGTTATTGCAGACTGGGTCAGTCCCTCAAATATTCTTAGTCTCATGTTTTTTATCTACAACATTAAGATAATAATGCCAGTCTACAGACCAAATTATTTTTAAGTGTGAACAAAACTAAGCGAGTAAAACATAATTTTTAAAAAGCTACTTTTCAGGCAAAATTAGTTTTTAAAAAAGTAAAAATTGCTAATCACTGGCAGTATCTGGGAGGAAAAAAAAGTGTGTGTAACTACCTATATTTTAGACCTGGCTAAAGCAGAAAGGAACTTTGCAGCCAACTAGAAGCTGAGCCAATTCCTGGGTTAAGTGCTTGCTTCTTACCTTGGAGACTTGTCGCAGCCACCTTAAGTATTCTGTGAAAGTATCAAAGCAAATGTAGTAAGTCTGGCTTTGGGGTCCAGAGGAGCTAAATGCTAAACAGTGCTGGTGCTTTTTCACTTCTTCTACCTATAAAAGCAAGCAGAAGCAGAAACAAGTCAGACAGCAGAACCACTGAGGTATTTCACTAACTATGCCTCTGAGCAAGGAGTCTGCATGGATTTGCATCTTTCCCTATATGTTACTCATTACTGAGAACCAAGTTCCTGCATATATATGATCACTCAGTATGAATTACAAGGAAACCAAAAAAAGGGGAGTTTTATCTTTATTGTATTTCCCCAACACAGTGAAATTCTCCTCTTCCTGTTTAAAATTAGTCTAGACTCCCTTTCTTATTCTTCTAACCTCACAATAGGGTGCTGGGGTTCTTATTTCCTCTTAGAATTTTTATGTAGGAATTTTTACTTCAGTCTTCAAGCATGTTTTAAATAAGTATTTAAAACATTAATGTGAAACTGAAATTAACCTGAAATAAAATCGCACTATGAAAACTTTCAAGTCCTAATGATGCCATGAAATACAAACAAATCAAATTTCCACTCCTTGTAATTTTTTTATTTTGCCTCTTCACAAGGGCAAAAATTAACACAAAGTACAGTAGTATTATACAAACTCTTATGTTTGGAAACTTAATAACAAACTTCTAAGCAACTCACAGGTGAAAGGAGAAATTACAACCAAAATTTTAACACTCTTAGAACAATTATAGAAATACTATGTATCAAAATCTATATATTACAATAAAAGGACACAGTAAAGGGGAAAAATATATATATATATATTTTTTTTTTCAATTGAAGTCATTTATCTTTTGATACTCATAAAGAAGGCAGAACACTAATTTGATCAGCATTCACCTTTAGAACTTGGAAGGAAGCCCAGGCACAGGGGCTCACGCCTGTAATCCCAGCACTTTGGGAGCCCGAGGTGGGTGGATCACCTGAGGTCAGGATTTCAATACCTGTCTGGCCAACATGGTGAAATCCCATCTCTTCTAAAATCCAAAAAAGGACTTACAGCCAGGCATGGTGGTAGTCTTGGCTACTCAGGAGGCTGAGGCAAGAGGATGGCTTGAATCCAGGAGGCAGAGGTTGCAGTGACCTGAGATACAGCCTGGGTGACAGAGCAAGACACTGTCTCAAAAAAAAAAAAAAGAAAAGAAAAAAAGAACTTGGAGGGAAAAAAAAAAATCAAACCCAAAACTGAATTAATCCAAAGTAGAATGAAGGCTATGATAAAAAGTAGCAATTGATGAAACGAAAACCAAACATGTAAGAGAAAACATTAACAAAGCAAAATACTGATTCTTCACGAAAACTAGTAAAATTGATAATTCCTATGGCAAGAAAAATTGATAAATCTTCTGGCAAGAAAAACAACAGACACTTATAAACAATATTAACAATGAAAAAGGAGACACAGCTACAAATTCAGATTCACCAAAGATTAAAAAGAGATTATAAACAATTTTGTGAAAACTTATTAGAAAAAATGTGTTTTACCAACAGTACTAAATAAAGAAGAAAAAAAAAAAAACGAAAGACTAAACAGTCCTATCAGCCAGGTGCAGTGGCTCACACTTGTGATCCCAGCACTTTGGGAGACTGAGACAGGCAGATCAATTGAGCCCAGGAGTTGGAGACCAGCCTGGGCAACATGGCAAAACTTTATCTCTACAAAAAAACAAAAAACAGAAAAACAAAAATTAGCTGGGTGTGGCAGTGCACATTTTGTAGTCCTATAGATACTGAAAAGGCTAAAGTGGGAAAATCACCTGAGCCTAGGGAGGTCGAGGCTATAGTGAGGAGTAACTACACCACTGCACTCCAGCCTGGACGATAGAGTGAAACCCAGTCTTCACAACAACAACAAAAATTGAAGAGTCCTACAACCTTTTTTGTGTGTGTGAGATGGAGTCTCACTGGTAATTCAGACTGGAGTGCAGTGGCATAATCTTGGCTCACTGCAACCTCTGCCTTCTGGGTTCAAGAGATTGTCCTACCTCAGCCTCCTGAGTAGCCGTGATTACAGCCTTGGCCTCCCAAAGTGCTGGGAATACAGGCATGAGCCACCATGCCCGGCTCCTATAACCAATTAAAATATAGAAAGTTTTTTATTTTGATGCCTCAAAAAAATATCAGGCCCATATGGCTTTACAGGTGAGTTTTACTAAGGTTTCAAAACATAGATCAATCCAAACTCGTGCAAACTCATCCAGCAAACAAAATATGAAGGAAAATACCCCAGCCTATTCTATGAGGATAGTATAACCAAGTACCACATAAGAGGAGTAACAGAAAGGAAACTTACAGATAACCACATTCATAAAGGTTTATCTTAAACAAAATGTTGCACCAAAATCCACTAATTTAAATACACACACACACACACACACACACACACACACACACGTATGTATGTATGTGTGTGTATATATATATATATAGAACAAAACCAGCGTGGTGGCTCACCCCTGTAATCCCAATACTTTGGGAGGCCAAGGGGGGTGAATTATTTGAGGCCAGGAGTTGGAGACCAGCCTAGCCAACATGGTGAAACCCTGTCTCTACTAAAAATACAAAAATTAGCAGGGCATGATGGCATGCACCTGTAGTCCCAGCTACTCGGGAGGTTGAGGCAAGAGGATTGCTTCAACCTGGGAGGTGGAGGTTGCAGTTGAGCCGAGAATGCACCACTGCACTTCGGTCTGAGTGAAAGAGAGAGAGAGACTCGGTCTCAAAATAAAAAAATAAAATAAAATAAAATAAATAAAAAGATCATTGATAAGACAAGTAACTATCTACTGTTTCTAGTCAACACTGTATAGAGCCCTGCCCATAACAACAGTAAGACAAAGAAAACAACTTGTCATTATTTGAATTTTATATGATTAGCTATACAGTAAACAACAAAATCTATAGGATCATATTAGAATAAACCAGAAAATTTATCTAGGTGATAAATAAATACTCAAGATAAATATTCAAAAACCAACTGTTTCTATAAACCAAACAGAAAATGCAATTTTTTAAAAACGCCATGTAAACAAATTGAAATTGACAGATATCAAGCAGAAGGTTTCTTGGGGATGGAGAGGAGTGAGTGGGAAAGGGTGGGAGGAAAGGAGAAACAGTGGGAAGAAAGGAAAACAAAGGGGCATGAGGAAGCTTCTGGGAATGATGAACATGGATACTATCTTGGTTGTGGTGATGGTTCAATGGGGTTACACAGCTATCAAACTGTACTAACTGGAGTGTACAGTTATCAAACTGTTATAAAAATGTGCAGTTTATTGTTGTCAATTGTACATCAGTAAAGTGTTGGTGAAGATGTGGAGAAAACAACACTTGTACACTGATGTGAATGCAAAATGACACATCGACCTTAAAAAACAACTTGGTACCATCTTATAAAAAGTAAATGTGTATATGTCCCAGACCCCAGTAACTGCATTCCAAAGTGTATACCCAACAGTAGTATTTCTCAGGAAAGTCATTATAGGAATTGTGGATTGAATAGTTTTTCATTGTGCCCTATGCAGAACTCTCTAATACTTTGCATTATATTTTAATCTCTCTGCCCCTGCCTTCAAATGCCAAGAGTGTCCGCTGCAGCAATGATAATGTTATTCACCAGTCATTCTACTTCTTCACATTTCTCAGACCCCTTGCAATTAAGGTAGAGTGCTGTGACTAGTTCTGGCCAATGAGTCATGGAGAGAAGTGGCACATGTCACTTCTGCATCCAAACATACAAGGCCCATGAATGATGCTCCAAGTCACCTCTTCCCTTGCTAAAGCAACAAAGTATGAGAGCGCCAAGCCTTCATCAGGCTAGGTCCCTGAACAACTGTGTGAGGAAAGAAATTCCTACCGCCCAACCCCACTGACCCACAACAGACACACAATGTGAGAAATTACTGTCATGATAAGTCACTGAGGTTGGGGGGAAAGAGGGGTGTTACCATGGCATAACTTAAGCTTATATTAACTGATATGTTGACTGTTCAATCATTTAACCATCAAAACATTCCTACATATAACCAAATGTCCCTCCAGTAAAGTAACTCCACTTGCAAACTACCGTCCTAGAAAAAATACTTGCATACCAGAAGGCATATCAATATGACTATATCAACATGCTATAAGACTACAGCAGCAGCACTGTTCATAACAACAACAAACTGACGGCAACCCAAATGTCCATCAGCAGGAAAATGACTGAAGAAATTATGAAATTGTGGAATGTTTAGAGTAGATATTACGGAGAAATGAAAACCACATAAGTAACATGTAATCTTATTATGAAATATTGTATTAGGTAAATAAATTCAATTACAGAAGACCATAGTAATTTATCACTTTTATATACATCAAAAATAAGCAAAATATAGATACATGGTAAAACTTATTTCAAAAAAGGAAAAAATGATGAATACAAATTCTAGGACAGTGAATCCTTCTAGGGCTTGGGAGGCAATGAGACATAAGTAAAGAGAACACAGGTAGAAGAAACACTGATATTGATATTGCTACAGTTCCTGAATTCAGTAGTAGGTTAACAATTCTTCAATTTATTATGCTTCATAATTTAACAAATATTAATTAAAATACAATATTATCCAGCCAGGCATGGTGGCTCATGCCTGTAATCCCAGCACTTTGGGAGGCCGAGCTGGGCAGATCACTTGAGGTCAGGAGTTTGAGACCAGCCTGCCCAACACAGTGAAACCCTGTCTCTACTAAAAATACAAAAATTAGGCGGGCATGGTGGTATGCACCTGTAGTCCCAGGTATGAGGAGGCTGAGGCAGGAGAATCACTTGAACCCAGGAGGCAGAAGTTGCAGTGAGCTGAGATTGTACCACTGTACTCCAGCCTGGGTGACAAAGCAAGACTGTCTTAAAAAGAGATTATTTTAAAATCTATGTTAAATTCTCTAGGACAAGTTAAATATAACATTAAAACTACATAATATAAATTATCTATTAAATATTCTTCCAATAATTAAATTTTTGAGTTAAGGACAAAACCATACAAGTAATGCCCATGCCTCAAGTGGTATATCAATTCGATGCTATAGCAATTATAACTAGGTTATGACCAATCTACTTCACACCTTATTTCTAAATCTATAGCTCTTCTATAACTAAATTAAAAAGAAAAAAAAAAAAAAAAAAAAAACTCCTTTCAATTAGAAGGCTTTTTTTTTAGCAAAATAAAAAAAAAAAAAAAAAAAAAAAAAAAAACTCTTTTCATTTATACTGTTTTTTCTTTAGCAATAGAACAGGATAAAAAAAAAAAGTACAAAAATTAATGAAAGTTCAAATTGCAAGAAATCACTTATTTTTCCCTAACTCAGTCAACAGATTTTAAAGAATCAGTTTTTCAATGTACTCAATTATTTTTTAAAGGCACAGTGTAAAACGGGCTTTACAAGGTTTGCTTGTGAAAAGAGGAAGCTATTAACTTTCAATTCACTCAATGGTAGAAGTCCATCCAGTAATAGGCCTGGGAAACAGGACAAATCTCTAGTACTGAATGAAAATGCTAATTATAACCGGATCTGCTGACCTTATCTGAACATTCCATGTGCTTTCCTGCCTCTGCCTCTATGAGCATAATAATCTTTCTGACCATCTCCTTCACATGTCAAAAGACTTTTCATCCCTCAAATTCCATCATAATTGCTACCTCTTTCATTACAAAATTCCCGCTTACCCGACAAAATATAATCTCTCCTTCCATTGATCTCTCATAGTACTTTTCTGCACCTTTCTTAAGACATCATTGTGCTTGCTTCATCTTCTGATACAAAATTATAAACTATTCAACAACAGGGAGGGTTACTTAGCTATGTTTGTTTTCCTGGGGTGCCAAGCACAGTGCCTTCCCCACAGAGGATACTGAATAAATAGTTATATTAGATTTGCCTATGCAAACACCCAGCATCATAGAGAAGAGAGAGACTGTAGACCTAACAAAGCATCAAACATTAAATATACATTTTTATTGATAACCTATGGTGGTAATACAGATAATTATTTTTTCAATAATCCATCTATCCATCCTTAGTATCAGTTACTAACTCTTCCATGTTCCAACAAAAGTTAAACAGCAATGGTTTCAAAATGAACGATTAAAATCGATCTAAATGCACCTGTGCAGCCTGACCAAAACCTATTTTTGAAAATGATCAAGTATTAGCCTTCTTAAAACTAGAATTAATACAGAGGAAAAAACTGACATAGGCTATTTATTCATAAGGAAAGACTACGAAGAATGTGCTTGCTACACAGCAGGTGAACAACAAAACCATTTATTACTATACACATCTGGTCTCACTTCCTTCACTTATAACCCTTAAGACAGATCAGACATTTAGACATTTGCCAATTAAAACACAGTTTACTTAGGCTAGGCGCAGTGGCTCACGCCTGTAATCCCAGCACTCTGGGAGGCCAAGGCAGGCAGATCACGAGGTTAGGAGGTCAAAGGATCGAGACCATCCTGGCTAACATGGTGAAACTCTGTCTCTACTAAAAATACAAAAAATTAGCCAGGCTCAGTGGCATGTGCCTGTAGTCCCAGCTAGTTGGGAGGCTGAGGCAGGAGAGTCACTTGAACCCGGGAGGCAGAGGTTGCAGTGAGCCGGGATCATACCACTACACTCCAGCCTGGGAAACAAGCAAGACTCCGTCTCAAAAACAACACCACCAACAAAAAGAAAACATTTGTTTAATGTGCCCCCAATGTCCCATGACCCATTTTCTTATCCAAATCTTAATTTCCATTTATTAACATATCACTTAAAAATCAAGAAATTACTATGGTGATGCTACCCTTACCAACGCTTGGGACTTTGTAAGTAACTCTGACAAAGAAAAGAATGAACCAAGCAATCTGGTTCTATTTTATAAATAATGGCAATAAAATAGTTAACATACCCAAAGAAAAGAAACCAGTAATGTCAAAAATATATCAGTTGCATTATATTTTCTCTGAAATGAGAAACATTTAGGATTCAAAATTTATAACTAAGCACTTAAGGTAAAAATGCTAACCCCACTGGTCACTAAACACAGGGGAAAACATGGTCAAAGACTTAAGCACTGTAGGCTCAAACCCTCAGCATGTGTCAATATTTCTAAATCCATTAATTTAAGGATCAGTATACTCTACTAGAAAATGTATGCTTAAGATATCAACTCTTAAGTAATGAATTTATCATCTAAACTCTGAAATATGACAGTGAAATTCTATCTGATCTATTTCCTGTCCAGTAGGTAAAATGCATGTAACTAATGAAGCAATGATCATCAAGGCCATCTCATGAGCCAATGGCGCTGTTTTTCCCCCACAGCTCCACCAACTAACAACACCTACTGGGGGAGCACCATGGGAACCGAGTAAGACCTCAGATGAGTCAAAAATCATCTACCCCGTATCACAGAAATGGCTGAAAGTAAGTTCCTTACTGATGCTGAAAACCTTGTTAGTATTTTGCTTGTTTTAAACTTACTCTTGGGCCTGGTGTGGAGGCTCACACCTGTAATCCCAGCACTTTGGGAGGCCGAGGCAGGCAGATTACTTGAGATCAGGAGTTTGAGACCAGCCTAGCCAATATGGTGAAACCATTTCTCTACTAAAAACACAAAAATTAGCCAGGTGTGGTGGTGCACACCTGTAATCCCAGCAGAGGCAAGAGAATCGTTTGAACTTAGGAGGTGGAGGTTGCAGTGAGCTGAGATCATGCACTACACTCCAGCCTGGGTGACAGAGCAAGATTCCATCCCAAAACAAACAAACAAACTTACTTTTCCACCAATTAGGGGCAGAACATGCATCTTTCCAGTCAAGCTGTCTTTCACAGATGATACTATCAGGCAGGTCCCACATAGGATGACTTGGCGTCTTGTCCATCGGTTCACCGGCAACTGCATTTTGCCTTTACGGACATTATACATTCCTGAGAGCTGAATCCGTTCAGAGCTACCTGTGCTGTGAGGTTTTCCTGAAATAAACACAAGCAGACATATTATTCTTTAAAAATGGACCCTCTTCCTACTCATCTGCATACCAGATATACAAACTGGATAACAAGGGAATAATTCAAGGGAAAGAACCTAATATATAATTGAGAGAAATGACAACTGTGGTAACGGAATTATGGTAAGAACTATATTTCCATATGTATACTTAATATTAAGTGAAGAGCATTTTCCACAAAACCCTAGGAAAACACTATTTTAACTCCCTGTTTTAACTGGCTTTATTTTCTTGCGTATCTTTCACAATTAAATTTTACACTGGAAAAGATTTCAAGATGTTTATGAATGATTAGAGTTATTTAAATACACTAAGAAGAAAACATTACAGCCTGAGATAGAAAAATAACATCTAATATCTTACATTTAATAAAACTAATCAGTTTAATGAAATTACTATTTTTCCTCATACAGATATTCAATGTATATTTACTGTGAAAGAAACGTAAGAAAGAAAATATTTTTCTTAAAATTACTATTATTTCCTATTAGAAATGATTCTCAGTAATCCATGAAGAATGGGTGCTACAATGCTTATGACTTATGGAAAGGAGCACAGAGACGGAGAAATAAGCAATGAGACTAAAAGACAGAAAGAGGCTTGAGAAAGATCTGAAGAGTTTTTACTTTTCAAATGGAAATGAATTTGGCAGAATTAGTCAGGCAAGTCCTATCAACTTAATGGGAGAAATATTGTGACTGACAAGAACACAGTGACAGAGTCATATAAGCAACTAGAAAAGTATTTCCCCAGTTCTAGATACTGAATATATAATATCAAAGAGTACCAAAGTCCCTGCCCAGAGATAAGTTAATAAAGAATATATGTACTGTAGTAGGACCCCAGTCAGGAATAATATATTTATTTAGAAGTCAGACTAGTTGCCAAGGGCTGGCAAAAGAAACAAGTTCAAGAGAAATTATATTCTTATTCATATTAAAAATCAACATAAATACCAAGTGGTTTTGATACATGTCTAATACTTATTAGGGAACAGGAAGAGCAACAGCTCTAAAAATAAATAACAGAAGCTCCAAACAGTATCTGAGCCTTCCCAATACATACTTTGGGCAGAGATGTTAGGAAATAAGCCATAGGTTTGAATTTCACTTCTTCTTTCTCTCAGTAGATCAAAATGTTTTATAAAATAAATACTTCACACTACATAATTTTTCTGAGGCTGGGCCAGGATGAAGTATAACAGTGATTCAGCTACTTGAACCAGGTGCCCAGCAAACAACTATACTGTTAAAGCTCTCACTGGAAAGGTACTGTGTTGTCTGTCTACCACATGTTAGTTTTCCCACAAATGAGTACGGAGCCCAGACAACGATTCAAAACAGATGTGAGATGTGACAGGACAAGGGCTGCAAATGATGGATCAGACACAGTCATTCACATGTCCCATTCTGCACAAGTTCATTTATACCCAGAGAGGAAGATCCCTGGGTTTCCAGTCTAAGAGCTCCTTTCTAGACGACAGGCTCTTCCTATGGAGAAGTAAGAGAGAGGAAAAGACCAAGAGTAATAAAAATGAAAAGCAAACAAAGGACTAAAAATAATGGACAATAGGCAACTTGGTTTCCAAAATCCAATTTCCTTGACATAATAAACTAATGCTATTAAAAGATTTGAGCTGATGTGTATGTACACACACACACACACACACACACACACACACAGAGAGAGAGAGAGAGAGAGAGAGAGAGAGAGAGAAGCAGGCATTTTATTCAGCCCATGAGAGAGTGGCTTCAACAATACTTGTTAACCTGTCACATTTATGCAGTCCTGTGAAGAATCAGACTAGAGAAAAAGAGAACAGGGGTACATAAGGGCTGGCCCTTCAATTCTCCAACTCCATATACATCCTACAGAAAGCCCTAAAGCAAATCACCAGATAGACTGGACAAAGGTCAGAAGGGATCTTTAACAGAGTACGGATACATCAATAGATACTGGCTCTTTATTCCCTAGTCAGAAAAACTCCCAAGAGCTCTGAATAGTCCTGGAGCCCAACAGTCAGATCAGCCTGTCCCGGGAAAACCCTAAACATCCCAGTCTGAATCAAATCTCTCTGGTCTTACTCTGAGTGAATTTCAATATCCCTACTGTCTGTCCTCTCCCTGGGTGTCCCAGATCAGATGTGGGTATGCACTAACTAAGTGGGCCCTGGAGAATAGGGAGATGAATGAGGTAGTATATACCTAGACAATCACCCAGGTGCACCCTCCTTTTTATCAGACTTCCTTGTTCTATGACATAAGAAATTATTTTTGCTCTCCCTGATAATTTTCAAAATTCTCAACCCAGAGGAATTCCAGTTACCCTATGCTCTAATAAACACTGACAATACCAAAGTAACTCATGTGTACCAGTTTAAAGCTGGGTCAGTTGTTTAGCTTTTACTTTAGAAATGTTACTCTAATTCCCTACAGACTTAAGGCATTTTTACATGATCCAGGAGGAAAAACAGACAGCAAAAGCAAACATTTCAAGCTGTCACAGAAACATGACAACAGAGAGTGATTTGAAAACATATTCATATACTTTATCTTTTATTTATTCACTTGGCACATAGTAGGTAAGGTGATCTATACTAGTCTATTTATAAACCAGACATGGGCCCACTGGTTGGGCCCACTTGTAGAAAATTACAGCACAATGCTAAAGAATCAAACTAGGGCCTCTGGATTTTGATTACATACTCAAGGATCCTCTCCAAAACCAAAATGACAGTTCTTTTTTCACATAGTAAAATTGTTTTTTAAAAGAGGGGGCAAAAAGGTACATGAAATGTCCATTATAAGCCACTATGCTAGATGCTGGAGGTATAAAGAAAATGTTCTCTGCACCAAAATTGCTTAAAGCAGAATCTAAAAATATAGTCCAAGAACGATATATATGAGCATCATGTAGATTTCTATTACCACAGTCCTAGATTTTAAACACTGGTAGCCAAGGCCTGAGACCTGCATTTCAGCAACCACAAATAGATATGTAAATTTTGTAGCCATAAATCTAAAATAATAAGTCATTCCCCAAAGCCAGCTTAATTTTCTAACAAATGTATTCCTCACATTCATGAATTCAGGGTTTTAATTCTGTCCTACCTGACTGCTAGTTTAATCTTTTCATGTCACATAAAGCTACCTCAAAAATATAATGAAAGCAATGGACCTCCAGATTAAAAAAAAAAACCAAAAACCATAAATATGCATAGACATCATATTTGGCAGATAACTGTAGTAGATGCATTTGACCATGCCCAAGAGAATAAAGGACGGTGAAATCATTCAGTAACAAGAACCTATTCCCATTTCCTTAAATCACATTCCAAATGTGAGGAAGTGATGGTTTGAAATTAATTTCTCCTATAGCCAAATTTAGTCTTACAAAATTATTTCTACTTTAATTGGATTACTGTATTTTTTATCTTTCTTACCTCTTCCTTCACATAGTCTGCCTATCTCAAGAGGCTTAACCTATCTAGCAAACTATTTAGGCAGATAATATTTATCTTGATATTTTTTTCCAATCAAAAAGAAGCTCATAGAGTATTAGAGTGATAGGTCTACCATAATCACTATAATTAAAAATATATCTGGGCTGGGTGCAGTGGCTTTTGCCTGTAATCCCAGTACTTTGGTAGGCCAAGGTGGGAAGACTGCTTGAGCCCAGGAGTTCAAGACCAGCCTGAGCAACACAGTGAAACCCCGTCTCCATTTAAAAAAATGAGCTGGGAGTGGTGGCAGGCACCTGTAGTCCCAGCTAATCAGGAAGTTGAGGTGGGAGGACTGCTTGAGCCCAGGAGATCAAAGCTCCAGTGCGGTATGATCATGTCATCGCACTCTAGAGCCTGGGAGATGGAGCGAGACCTTGTCTTTCAAAAACAAGAAAGTATATAAATATGTAATATATATAAATGTTTTTTATATTTTATGTAACATAAATATATATATTTTTATTTTATATATTTATATAAAATATATTTATAAATGTATATTTTTATAAATATATTTTATATTTATATAATTTATATATTAATAAATTTCTATAATATAAATTTATTAATATATCGGATTAATATATAAATACCTTATATAAATTTATGTGTATGATTATGTGTATATTATATATATACACAAATATACATATAAACATATACATAATTATATATTATATAAATATATGCAATTATACATATATTTGTACATTATATATTTAAATATATAAATTTATATATATAATATACATATGTAACATATTTATACTATTAATTATACATATACATATATTTATATATAATATACATTTATATTATATACTTTTACACTTTTTTTTTGAAAGACAAGGTCTCGCTCCATTCTCCCAGGCTCTGGAGTGCAATGGCATGATCATACCACACTGGAGCCTTGACCTCCTAGGCTCAAGCAGTCAGTCCTCCCACCTCAACTTCCTGATTCACTGGGACTACAGGTGCCTGCTGCAGTATTGTATATAATACAGTAATTGTGTTTAATATATAATTTATATTTTATATATATGATTTATATTATCTATATATAATATATATTTATATAATTATACATATATTTAGATGGTATATTAGTTATATATTAACTAAGTTATATATAGTTATATTTATTATATGTAATAAATATATATTTTTGATACTGGGTCTCATTCTATCACTCAGGCTGGAGTGTAGTGGCACGATCTTGACTCACTGCAACTCTGCCTCCCAGCCTAGCCACCCAAGTAGCTGGGAATACAGGCATATGCCATCATGCCCAGCTGATTTTTGTACTTTCTGTAGAGACAGGGTTTTGCCATGTTCCCCAGGTTCACTGATTTTCTATTGCTTTTCTGTCTTATGGGGGTTCCATTTTTTTTCATTGTTATTGGTTATCCCTTCTTTTACTAATATGTATTTTTTCTTTTTTAAAGACAAGAGTTTCACCATGTTTCCCAGGCTGGTCTCAAACTCTTACACTCAAGTGATCTGCCCACCTCAGCCTCCCAAAGTGTTGGGATTACAGGCGTGAGCCAATGCACTGGGTCCATCTTTTACTAATTTTGAGATTCTCTTCCTTCTAAACACTGCTTGACTGCATCCCACAAATTCTGGTACACTGTGTTTTAACTTTCCATCAATTCATAGTACTTTCTAGTCTCCTTTTATTTCTTCTTGCACACATAGCTTTTTTGGAAGTATGTGGTTTAATTTACATGTATTTGGGGGTTATTTCCAGCTATCTTTCTTTCCTTGGTCTCTGGTTTAATCCCATCATGGTCAGAAAATGTTCTTTGTAGGAATTAATTTTGAAAATATTTTGTTCTCACTTTGTCTTACTGTGCTGAATTTAAAACAAAACAAAATTATACTTGTTTTATAGTATAGAATATGGTCTCTCTTGGTAAATGTATTAGTCAGTTTTCATACTGGTATAAAAAACTGCCTGAGACTGAGCAATTTATTAAAGAAAGGGGTTTAATTGACTAATAGTTCAGCATGGCAGGACAGGCCTCAGGAAACTCACAATTTGGGTGGAAAGAAGGAGAAGTGCTAAGCGAAGGAGGGATGATCCCCTTTTAAAGCCATCAGGTCTCATGAGAAGTCACTCACTATCATGAGAACAGCATGGGGGAAACTGCCTCTATGATTTAATTACCTCCATCTGGTGTCTCCTTTGACACATGGGGATTATAGGAATTACAATTCAAGATGAAATTTGGGTGGGGACACAAAGCCTAACCATATCAATGTTTCATATGCACTTGAATGTGTATCTTGCTATTGCAGAGTGCATTATTCTTATAAACTGAGGTCCAGTTCGTTAAGAGTGCTAGTCAAGTCTTCCATATTTTTAATAGTTTTATCTGCTTATTCTATCAAAGATTGAGAGAAAGGCATTAAAATGTTTTCCTATAACTGTGAATCTATTTCTTCTTGCAGTTCTATCAGCTTTTGATTTATGTATACTGAAGTTCTATTTAGGTGCATAAACATTAGGATTGTTGTATCTTTTTGATATATGGATCGCTTTATGATTATGAAATGACCTTATCACTGATTATACTGTTTGCTCTAAAATCTACTTTATCAATACAAATATAGCCACTCTATTTTTCTTATAATCAGTGTTACCAATATTTATATTTTTTCATCTTTTTACTTTGAACCTATATGGTCTTTATATTTAAAATGGGTTTCTTGGCCAGGCACAGTGGCTCACACCTGTAATCCCACCACTGTGGGAGGCTAAGGTGGGTGGATCACCTGAGATCAGGAGTTCAAAACCAGCCTGGCCAACCTGGTGAAACCTCGTCTCTAAAAACACTAAAATTAGCTGGGCATGGGGACACCTGTAATCCCAGCTTCTCCGGAGGCTAAGGCAGGAGAATCGCTTGAACCTGGGAGGCGGAGGCTGCAGTGAGCAGAGTGCATTGCGCTCCAGCCTGGGCAACAAGAGCAAAACTCCATCTCTAAATAAATAAATAAAATAATAAAATAAAATTGGTTTCTTGTAGGCAGTAATTACCTCTTTTTTATATAAATCTGATAATCTGTCTTTTAACTGAAACATTTGATCCGTTTACATTAATGTGACTGCAGATAATATAAATTTAGATGTGTCTGAATTGAAATCTACCATATTATTTTTTGTTTTCCATTTATCGCATATGTTCTTTGATTTTTCTCATTTTATGCCTTGTTTTGTATTAACTGATTCCATTTTATCCCCTTTGTTGGCATATTAGCAATACATTCCCTCCTGCTTTCTTATTAGTGGTTGATTTAGGGTTTATTATATACAT